TTATTTTAATTTTAATTTTTTATAATTTTGAGAACAACTCTTGTCTCTTTAATTTGTTTGATGGATTTTACAAATATCTCATCCATATTGTGTACATTTGTAGGTCTGCATTGTTCCTAGGTTCGACCTTTGGGACAACATTATTTGTCTCGTTGATTTGTTTGGTTTTTGCATATATGCCCTTCATCTTGTATACATTTATAAAGTTTACATTTAATAATTTCATTCAGGTTTACATTTCAATTTAAACTATATCCCTATCTTCATACTATGTATATCCAATAAGAATTCATCAATTTATCAACTTACTCTTACTTAATTGATTAGTTTTTAAATTTCGAGGGTATTTTTGTTTACCGAAAGATTTTCCCGAAACCGTGCTTTTAAAGGAAGTATATGATTCTATATGTCATCTCAGATCTAACAAGACTCACCCCATGCGAGCACGGATAAAATACTTGTTTTACTAACATATATCTTGTTTGGATGAATAAATGAAAAAAATCAACTAGAGTCAATTTTGTTAGAGGAAAAAATCTTATCAAAACTCACTTATACGATTTAAATCTCCAAATCGCCTCCGTATGTTTTATGTATGTGAATGGCTCTGATCAGCCATTAACATATGCAAGTATTCAGATAAAAATCTTATCAAAACTTGTACTCTAAAGTTTGTGTTGCACGGAGATATGACCTGGGTTTGAAAATATTCATGTCATAAAATTTGTACTCAAATTTGTTTTGTAGGGACATATCTAACTTTGGATGTTGAAAATCTTGCAAACCATCACATCCATCTTTGACTTGTACCTCTCATTAGTATATGCTTTTCAAAGAGAAACTCAAGTTTGAGTTTTCTTCTTCAATAAGTAGTAATTTTAGTGAGATGCTTTTCAAAAAGAAATCTAAGTTTGCATAAATCTAATCTATATATAGGAAATATTCTAAAGAGTGGCACTAGGGGCACACCCCCAACCACAACTCGAATCACACCCTCTCTCTCCTTTGACACAGTGCACCGGACCCCACATGAGATTTTAAAATTTTGAAAGGCAGAATAGTGTCTAATGATAGCATCAATCACAAAAAAAGCCACTCAAGATGAAAGGCTAGAATCATACTCCTTTTAAAAGCACGAGTTCAGTAAAATCTTTCTATGGTCAATATTACTCTTCACTATTTTAAATATTAATCTATCCTAATCATAATTATATCCTATCTTAATCATGCGTGAACTATCTATAGCACAATTTAAAAAATTATATTAATAAAATATGTAAAACATATTTTTATGGTATTAGTTTGTAAAAATAAAGAAATTACACGTAATCATAATTATATCCTATCCTAATCCTACGTGAACTATCTATAGCTTAACAGTTTAAAAAAATTATATTAATAAAATATTAAAAACATCGTTTTATGGTATTAGTTTGTAAAGATAAAGAAATTATATGTAGATAACATACTATAATACATAAAATATTATAAAAAAATCTAAAAGTTTTAAAATTACACAAAATACCCTAAAAGTTTAAAATTATAAAAACTATCCCGACGTCTAAAAACTTAAAACAACAAACATGAAATCAAGAAATTAACGATGAAGAATTTAAAATTTACGAATAACATCTCATTATCTCAAAAATTTATAGAAACACCATCAAAAGTTTAAATTACAAACAAGCACTTGAAATTCTAAAATTTTAAGACTTACAAACAACATAGATGAATTCAAGGGTTACCATAATCCACCTAAAATTTTTTGATATTTCAAAGCTTAAAATAACAAATATGAAATTAAAAAATTAACAGCAGCCTCCAAAGAATTTAAAATTTTCAATTAACACCCACAATGTCCTAAAAATATAGAAACTCCCTCAAAAGTTCAAATTATAAAAAAAACAACCCTAAAATTATAAAAATTTTAAAATTTGCAAACAACAAAAAATGAATTCAAGAGATTACCCTAATGCACCTAAAATTTAAAATTTACCGAAATTAACCTCAAAGTTACAAAAGTTGTAAAAAACTCTTTCAAAATTTAAAAATTATAAAAAAAACTCTAAATTTTTAAAATTTATAACCAGTACACATCAAATCTGAAAACTATTGGTAGACCGCTAAAATTTGAATTTTTTTAAAATTAATCTATAGTTTTAACAATTATAAAAAACAGCCTCAAAATTTCAGAGTTGTAAGAAATATAATTACATTTAAAAATTACCTCTGACACATAAAACATAGAAGTTACAACTATAAAACTTAAAAGTAAATTTTTAAAAATACTCCTAAAGTTTTAAAAATTACAAATCACACCCTTAATATTCCAAACCACAAAAATGGCTGAAATTTTAAAATTTGGCAAAGAAAATATAATTGTTAGATATTCTTTCATTAAGATATATATATTTAATTTTCAATTTAGGGTTTACTATCCCTTGTTAGCATCTAAAGACAGTCTAAGTTGATACTCGTAAACAAAAGCAATAAGAATTGATTAAAAATATCCGGTTAAGAAATAAAAATTTTAAAAATATTATAGCTTAAAAATTATCGTCACCATATAAATTAAAGTAACTGCATAAAATTTTACTAATAATTTGGAGCAACAAAACACATTAGTAATACTAATTGATAGATGTTTAAATCCATAAAAATAATAAAGACTATAATATAATAGCTTAACATTCAAAGAATACAATGAATTACATATGGAGAAACTATCAGAATGTTCAAAGATATCATTCAAAAGAATCAAACTATTTCCATTGCAAATGGGAAAGTGACGGAAATAAATCTAAAATTCAGAAAACGTCCATGAATCATTTGAATTGGCATTAACATAAGGCATGTCTATTAAAGAAGCACCAACTTTGTTACATTGAAGAATAGTTTAATAACTTTATCCCAATCAAAGATGAATTCTCTATGGAAGATATAAGAAAAATTAGTAAGCATTCATAAATTTAATACTTTGTTCTTAAAATACTAAAGAAATTAAATATTAATATTATAATCTAAGGTAAATTAGCAATAAAAATATAGATATTTAGTTTAGATCTTTGTGAAAAATAATATGGATAGAGCAAATGTAATATTATTAGCGTAACAGAAACTCTGGTTGGATGCACATCAGAAGAATTTATTGTAGAAAAAAAGAGGTAGCTCTTAATCTTATTTAAGTAATAAATTAGGAATATAAAGAATTTCATATATATGAAATTAATATTTATTCTCATTGAAATAAAAAAAATCAAAGTCTGTTTTTCAAGAAGTTTGTGTTGAATATCGGAAATAAATTTAACTTCTTTGTGAAGTTAAACAACAAGATAAAAGATTAATGAGCCTAGGAACGATAACAACACAAAAAGTATAACTCTAGCCCGATGTTACAATCGAGTAGATGATGAAGATACTACTATAGAATTGCCTGAGAAAAAGATAAAGGTGAGGAAAGATTGATATTAGCTCAGTAAAAAAAACAGAAGGAGTAAAAGATAATATTTTATGAATATTTTATAGAATAGTTTAATTATTTTGCGTGAATTTAGAAATCTTTAGAATTGAGATTTTTTTAGTACTTTTATATGCTTGTGCAGATGCTTTTATCATATGAAAGTATACTAGAGTTAGCATTAATCTTTAATTTATAATTTTTTATGAAGACTATCAATGATTAGGAACAAATTTTATATTCTCTTCTGTATATTTTAACATACTTTTAAGCAATTATTTTGCCTTATTGATTTTAAATATTCACCTTCTTTGTATAACACTGCTTTAATATTTTTTACTTTTGCAACATTGGACTTTCTCAAGTAAATATTAGTTTCATGTCAGTCAAAATAATATAAAAATTTAAATTAACTTCAAATTATATTTGTTTTCTATCAATTTTAATATTAACATGAAAATTTAAATTGGGTGTAGCCAATTTAAACAAACATTAAAGAAAATAAGTAATCGTAATATTAAAGTTTAGAGACAAAGTGAGCATAAACTATTAAAGTGAAACTGAGGAACAAATTTTAGTTATAAAATAAGCTAAAAATACTAAAAGTGAGCATAAACTATTAAAGTGAAACTGAGGAACAAATTTTAGTTATAAAATAAGCTAAAAATACTTAATCATGATATTTAACCACGTGCAACTGAGGAACAAATTTTAGTTATAAAATAAGCTAAAAATACTTAATCATGATATTTAACCACGTGCATTATAAAACCTAGTATAAATAAATAATAGAGTAAATTACACTAGACTGTTATTGAACTTTCAGCGTTTTGCAATAAACACCTATAAACTTTCAAGATCACACTAAACTCCTAATAAATTTTGCAAAAAAAAAAGAAAAACCTAAATATCTTGTGGGTAGGTTATATTAAACCCCAAATGACTTTCAAATGCCTTTCTTCTGTAGTTTTTCGGTTCTAATATATTGGGGTTATCTGCAAAATGCAGAAAGTTATTGTAGTTTCTATACAAAACAAGAAAGTTACTGAGAATTTAATGTGATTTTGAAATGTTTACTGCAAAATGCTGAAAGCCATCGAAGTTTAATGCAATTTACCCTAAATTATAGTCTTAATATATCCTTTTTCTGGGGTATTGCTTATGCCATAAATGAAAATCTTTTGTAAAGTATACATCTACTAGAATTTTTTAAAATTTTCTATTAATAGTAAAAAAGCTCAGATAAAAATAATTGTGTGGAAGATAAAAGCAAAACATTTGATGTGGCTCTTTTCACTATAGTTGAAACCTTTAAGAACATAATCTTTACCTACAGATAGATTCTTCAAAATGGTTATCAAAACTCTTTTTAAAACTCTCATAATCTCAAAGGTCAGCTATTGTTCGATTAAAATCTTCCTAAAAAAAAATCAAACCGAGCATTTCGCGGTCCCCTGATAGCTAAAACGATCCTATTTCAATATCCTGTATTTCTAGAGCAGGCAGCAACGTCACATACCAACACCAGTAAAAACGCATGACATCCAGTAACTGCAACATATCTTAGATTCAAATGCTCTACGTGGATGACCAAAGATTGTGCTCAGGACGAAAAGGGGGAGCGTCATAATTTACCTGCAACTTTTTTTTTTATTTGGTTCTCAATACATGATATCAAATCCTCCTCCTATTAAATATCACAACACTTGCTGTATTCTATCCTGTAAATAACGGGTATATAGGCTCCCGGTTCTGCATATGCGCCAGAACAAAGAATGAGCTAATGAACCTTCAACCAGAAGACCAGGCTTTTATTATTTCCTTCTTCAGGGTCTCTTTGATGATACAGATACATGTTATAGTGACGAGGGCTCAGACGCGGATAGTTCTGCGTACATATCTGCTATTGCCTTCGCATAGTAGGCTTTTGCTTGAGGTCTCTTGATCTGGACAAAGAAAAAGAGGTTAACATTCCATATAAGCTCCCCTGTAAAGTGAATGAAAGCTATGCCATAGGACTTGCCTTAAATGTTGGGGTGAGAAGGCCGTTCTCCATGGTGAATGGTTCTAATACTAATGTAACCGCTTTTGCGAATTCAAATCCCCTCAGCTGGTGATCATAGAAAGTGTAATGTCAGAAGTTGGTTTTACACATAGTTGTCTTAGAAAGACAAAGGCACGCTGGGATTCTACCTGAGCTTGCTTTCCGACAGCATCCATATCAGCAAGGACAGCAGCCCTCGCTCTAGGATCCACACATAGTTGTCTTAGATCTTCGTACTGCAAAATTGTGTTACAAAAGTATTCATGAGCGTTTTCAGGTAGAATTAGAAAGAACCATGTGAGTGTTCTGGGCAATAAAGCAGTCGTGACCATGTAAGAAATGCGAAAAGAAGTGAAGAACCAAGCCATGTGGCAAATAAAAAGAAAAAAAATCAAATGCATTCTTTGTGACGGTGAATGTTAATCTTGCGAGAAGCTGCAATTCACTATATGGAAACATGAAATTAAGAGGTGACAACCAGTAACACACTGCAATAAGGAAAATAACTATATATAACTATAACTATATAGAGACATATGGGTATGCTTGGCAGTGAGGTGGCACAATCCCCTCCACTCATTCAAATGGGGGACCACATTCACATGGATTGAGGAGTGCATGAGGATATGCAACCATTTGAATGAGTGGAGGGGATTATGTCACCTCACTACCAAGCACAACTTTTTGTGCTTGGTACCAAGCATACCCATTAATCATTTTCACTTGTCATGTTTTGAAAATTAATAGTATGAATGAAAGAAAATTTTAAAACGAAATCTCAGAAAATATGATGCTAAATTAGCAAGTAGTCATATCAAAAGGCTGCAAATAGAAAAGATTCAAAGTTTGTATATATAAAATTTTATTATGTTATTGATAAATCTTGGTTTTGTGTTGGTTTCACAAAACCAAGAAGTCACTAATCGATTAAAATAGTAAGGCTTAATGCAAGTCAGCTAAGCTTCATAGTAGCATCATCTTCTTTAGCCATAGGAGACTTTTGCTTAATCTTATCGTAACAGTCGATGCATGTCCTTATGTCATAATCTAGAATACCCAAATTAAAAGAAACAGTCGGATACAATTGAGACTTAAGTGCTTCAACGGCTTTCTTGAGATACTTATAGCCTTCATTGTAGGTTCCTTTTTTTTTCTCCATAAAAGAAGAACCTCTTAGCTCTCATTGGACACATTCTTATTGTTCATAAGCTAATTGATCTTGGCAAGATTGTGTGTAACTTTGATGTTTTCTAGGCTGACTGCTATAGTAGCATGACCTGATAAATAAATATATAAATTTAATACTACATCTGCAATTATCCATAAAATTAATATGGAGTCAGAAAAAGTGAATTCTGAAAAAGAGGAGAACAAAGAATTACTATCACCAAAAGTGTCGGCGTTAATGCTTCCTGGATCAAACTGAAGTGTTGCCATGCAGAAGTTGAAGTTTTGTAGTAGAGTTATACAGAGCTACTGCTTTCTTGCATTTTTCTTCAAGAATAACATCAACTGATAACAGGTTAAGGAGGAGTACAACAACAATGAGAGAGAAAGGCCTTCATTATTTGAGAGGGTGGCATTAACTGACTGTAGTTTTATTTTAGATGAAACCTATATAGATAGTTATATAATGCAGGAGAGAATCTTCTTTTGGTATCTAAGTAATGGATAGGTTCATAATTTGCAAGTAAAAAACTGTGTATCTAATGCGTTGTCAGCATTCAACAAATTGTTTGAACCAAATAAGAGCAATTTCCCTCCTATTAATACCTACCTATAATGTCAAATTTTCTCTTGCCTGGTCAACATTTCATAAATGGGCATGTCCATATTTGCTAAGTAAATAAATGTGGACTTGTTAGCTCATTACGCCCCGATACCAGATGAACTTGTGGTTTTTCTCTTTCGTGAGGATTTTGTTTCTTCTCGAAATTTTGCCATGTTCGATCCCTAAAGTTCGTTTTTGTGTTTATTGGCTTCTCAAGGTTTCTTAATTATTGTTAGACTATCATGCTTTATTCTATGTTCTTGATTACTTTATTTCAGTAATCTATGTAAATTTTCTTATTATTCTTGATTATTCTAGAGTTTGA